CTAACACTTCCCAGCAGAGTCAACAAGCCATGCTGCTTGTCTCCACTCTCAGGAATGGACTCAGGAGCCTCTTCGGGCCAGCTGACAGAGATGAGTAACAGAATAGCTGCTCTGCCTCTACACATAAGACTGCAGTTCTAGCTCTCCCTGAAAGGAACCCAGGAAAAGCTACCAAAGAGCCATTTCCCCTTTTCAAAGTCTCCTACAATTAGCATTTGTGTTTATTTATTATTCTTTTAATTATATTCTTATACAAGACTTTTACTCACAGGTTTTGAGAGGCTGAATGCATTCTTTATCACATTTTACTAAACCAGAATTAAAGTCTGTTTAGAGGGACCCTGTTTTGAAATTCTCCTTTCACACCTGCAGTTCTCCTGCAGCTTCACGTGCAGGTGCTAATGGAGGGAAGCACAAAATCAAGAAACGCCCTGTAGGTGCCTTCACTTCAGCGAAGTGATGTTTCCTTATAATGCCTTCTCAGCATTATAGGGAAACGTCACCATCAGGGGAATTTTTTAAATATTTTTTTAGAGAAATTTCTCATTGGCTGAAGGTGCAAGGATAGTTTGTGAACAGTGAGTGCCTTAATGTTAAGTGTTGCAATAAAATCCTGGGACACTGGTGAAGTTACTGTCTACCCATTACTCTGACTTCACCAGACTTCTTGGAGGAAAATAATTTGAGTATGCCTCCTGCTACAGAAATAGCCAGTGCACTTTCCTTTATCAAAGACCACAGCAGACACCATGACTCAGTTTGAGCTGTTAAAAAGGAATAGGCACATAAACTCTGTTAACTGCTTTTTCAGATGCTACTAATTGTCCCCAGTGCTGTTTTCTCACAAACAGTTAGCAAGCTCTCATTTTGATCGACAGTGATCAACCTTCATCATCATCATGGCCAACTTAAATTTATCAGGAATAAACGCCAGGCCTGTTTTTCCTCTGCTCATGAGCTAGGGGATCTCATTATTTACAGAATATTCATTAGACTCTCTACTTACTCTAAAAATAGTAGGGTTTTTTTGCTGCTGAGTGACTAGTGGGCAGCAGCTTCATGCATTCATTCTATTCCGCAATACAAGATCTGATAACTACATGTACTCAGACACTGTGCCTTCAAGAGACAGTTGCCATAAACAGACTCCACCTTACAGTTTATGACATTGCCAAAGCACTGGTTAATGTTCACTAATAGCAATTAACTAATTCATTTTCAGGGCAACCCCATGAGCTAGGTAAAACTGATATAATTTAACGCATGAGTAAAATGAGATTTAGGAGTTAAGTCAGTTGCCTGGGCAGAGGCCTTCATGGTCTAGTGCATTAGACATCTGTCTCTCCAACCAAAGAAGTTGAGTCTAATCCTTTTTCTGACATTGATTTGCTGTATGGCCTTACTGAAAGTCAATTAACTTCTCTGTCTCAGCTGCCCTAGAGATAATGATGCTTACCTACCCGGTGATACATGGGTGTTTGGAAACAGTACTAAATGAAACTTTTAATGTACTCTTAAGGCCTATCGGTGGAAGAGGTGAAACATTAAAGCTTCTTAGCTTTAATATCCTTGTTGTCTTACCTAATTCCTCCTCCCCACACCACAAATAGCTTGGGGGTAAGGAGGAATTTCTTAGGCTAAGATGCTGTTATCGAAACTGTGGCTGGCATCAAGAATTTTCATCAGATCCTGTTTGACCAGAAAATCTATTGACAGTACAGGTCAACACTAGAATTGCAGCAGGAAGTTTATTTTAAACTTGGCCATGGAAGAAACCAGCATCCTTCCCATGATAGACTGAACAGACTGCCACAGCCATCCTGAGTGAGCACCCCTGATTCAAAGGGCACAGAGCCTGTTTGCAGACACCCGAGAGCCTGCACTCATGCACCATTCCCAGTTTCCCTGAGATTCCGTAAGTGAGATTTCTGTATGGAAATTTCTACACATCACCTTATCTTTAACAGGAATGCATGTCCGGAGGGGTAGTACCCACATACATGCACCTCCTGGAGCAGACCCACCTGATCTTGCTATCTCTGAGCACTGGGGCACTGTATTTAAGAGGGGAACAACTAAAACCGGCTCTCAGTTCATTAGAAGCCTACCTTGAACTTCTGTCCTCTTGCCAGCATAGCTTTTCATGACATGCCATACTACATTAAGACGCATTACTTCTGTAGTTGGTGTTTGAACTGCCTGGCAGGTATCTAGGCTGGTGGTGTGTACATGTAACTTTATATCCATCTTCCTGCATTCGACCTTGCTTTTAATTATTTTTGAAAAATATTCTATTGCTACACATAAAGCTGCCTAGGCCCATACAATCTCCCCACAACTCTGATATAGCAAGAAACCAGTCAAACGGGACATAAGAAGTCAACATTTACCTTTATTTCTGTGAGACTAACATTCCTTCTCTTTAATACTGAAGGAAATGTCAGGGCTTTTTCCCTTTTTCTTGCTGAATTATACCAAGTGCAGTTAATGCTCATGCAGCCAGAAGAATAATAACCTGCTCCTGCCTCAGATGTGGCACCAATCACTTCTTGGCATCCTTTCTGCTGACAATCCACCCGTGCACCAGCTGCTTTGTTTTGCTGCCTTGTTCTCTCCACCCTCTGACCAGTGAGCACCCTCCCAGCTCTACTGATAATGTGTTTAACATTTACTTTGATGCTATTCCTTGAGGCTTTTCAAAATCCTTCTTGGAAAGAAGACCATTTAAAAGAAACCCTTTGGGGAAAGAAAGGGAGAAAAGCTAAAGCACAAAGGGCATGCTCTTGTATGTAATATACCCCTGTAGGCTTTGTCTTGCTGCAAGCCTGAAGATGACTTAATGCAAATCCATACTGCTGTAAATAGAGAATAAATATTGTATTCTCCTAAAATACATTTGGGCTAATTCAATAAACCCCGACTTATTAGCTGGTACTTGTGAAAACATCTGCATATTAAATTCCAATAAATTACTAATTATCAGTACTACAGATATTCCTAAGGCTGAACGATTGTCTATAGCTTCTCCCTATATATTTACTTACTGCAGAGGCTCCTGGTGTGGACTAGCACAGGCTAAATGGCTCCATGACTATACACTGTGCAAAAACTTAAAGGTGACTTGTAGTAGCTTACAAAATATACTCTAGGATTGTACCAAGAATCACAAATTAAACCCGTATTCAGCCCTCGCATGTCTAAAATACAACTGTCCAGTGTTGATTTTTCCTAGGGTTAAAATTACCTGTGTGCTAATAGGTGATTAATATGTAACACAATTGGCATAAGCAGAACATATAATTGCATTCAGACAGATTGCTGGGTATTCTTCAATGCTATTGAGCACTGTACTGCACTTGCATGTTTGGGTTTTGGTGGGGTTTTTTTGTTTTCCTATATGGAGGCTTAGAACCTGTACCTTACTGCACCCGATCTACTAAATGCACTGAAGCATCCATTTAACTTTGAGCTTCAGATCTCTGCTGCATGAGTCTTTTTGTTTAAATATGTATCTTTTAGTTTTATATGACATATTTTGCAAGATTTCATAAAACTACCCAACATCCCAGTTCTATAGCCTGCACTAGAGACCAACAGGTGTGACGTCAACTTTATCTATCAATACAACAAAGAATATGTAATACCAGAAAGGACACCTTATTTTTCTTTTTCATCTTAATTCTTTCCAATACCTTTTGTTTAACCCTATATACAAATAATGACAGTTTCCTCTAGAGATGTTTGCCCATTTTTAAGTTTGGAATGAAATGGATGGTTTGCACGTCATTTTTTAAGTTGAAAGTAAAGGTGTACGGACCTTCAGAAGTATATTGGCTTTGCTGTAAATGAATGGTGCTGAAGTAAATGGAGACACTTGAACCTGCAGTGACCTTGTAAAATACTGGTGGCTATTCAGATGAAAATGTCTCTATCTGGATTGGAAGAGGGAAGGGAAATCAGTTCATCTTAGATTTGGTAATTTGGTAATTGTTACTATAAGCAGTGTTTTTACCTCTTAGTATGATCACAAGAAAACAATGCATAGCCAGTATTAAACCAGGGCAGATACAGATGATAAAGGCAAAGCTTAATCTTGCTAGGATTAGTGACTCTAAATTGATATGACTGTAAAAACATTGAAAAATGCTGAAGTTAGGCAGCTTCAGGGACTAGCAAAATGCCTTGCCTGGTAATTTTCAAAAGTCTTTAGAGACGGTGATTGCACCCGGAACCTCTGATTTGATTACTGAAATAAAAAATGTCTACTCTAGTAGTCTCATCTGTACTTATAATTAAGAGCTTTGCATTTAAATATAACCATCTGATCCCCTGAGGTTATTTTTAAAGGTAGCTTCTGGCAAGGCAGCAGTGTGGTGGATTAGAGACTTGGAATTGAGGAAAAATCATTCAGCATACAGTTTAGAATAATGTGAGCATATATACAAATACATGTGTGTACATCATGTAACAAGATACAGGACTGGATTTATTAAAGCCAAATGGAAAGCTATTTCCTCTTTTAATATTCTACATCTCTTTTAATAAATGTGATGTAGATATTGCACTGCAGTATGATTCACATAAATACCACAACAGCACATCAATCTGATCTGTCCAATGAAAGCTGGTTTTCTACAAATGTAAAACCAAGTTATCAACTTCGCTGTCTGCATCTACCTCCTTCTAACAGTGGCTGCTACACTTGGTGTGGATATTTAAGACGTATCACCCATCAGCTCACCATTTATCACAGAACATGCAAGCATGAGCTGAAAAGCAGCAGTGACAGATAAAGGACACTCATGGAAAACAAGCAGTAGGGTAGCAGCATGGGTGGCAGATTGGGGGTGCTAATGAGCAGTGTTAAAAGGGGAGTTGAGGGGTGTGTGTGGGTGGGTGTGTGTGTGTGTGTGTGTGAACAATCCATACAAGACATGCCTGAATGTGAAAAGCCAGATAACAATGGATTTTTCCAGTTCTTATTTCTGAAGGGAACTTACAGCTTCCAAATTTTAATGGGCAAGCATGTGCATCCATGGGGAAATCTTCAAGCTGCATGGGACATTCAGCAGAGATGGTCAATCTGTGGGGGAGTAAAAAGAAAATACATCATTTTTGGTTTTGGTTCCTTCCCTTTAGGCCTCTCACCACACATGAGTGCTGACACGAGTAAGCTTTTCCTGAAGGCTCCTCACTCCTGCTGAAATCACAGGAACCCCCTGTTGAACTGAATGTGAGATAAGCCAGGTGGACTACTGTGTGTGCATGCTATAGGCCTTATCAAGTAATGCTGAGACACATGAAAAAATTTTATTTATTTAAGATGTTCCAGTAAGATCATTCCTTCTTATCAGTATATGAAGGAACTGCTGTGCTGGAGCTTCTGCCATGCACCTTATACTTACCTGCTTTCTGTACATACTGCAACTAGACTAGGAATTTGACTCCTGAGTATGGCACTGTTACAGACATAAAGAAGCACTGACTTTACATATAGAAGTATCTAATACATAAAGATTTATAAAAGTATATAAATATTTATAGCTATATATAAGGTCATTGACATATATTTCTTTATATAGCACTACAGTCAGTTTCTGTGGAAATCGCATGGTATTAGGGCAGTCCATTTCAGTTCAACATACTGTGAATTACTTAGGCACCTTGTCAGGAAAAAAAAAACAGGGCCATTTTCCCTAGTGTCTTGCCTGGGGAAGCAATTCTATCCTGGACTGCCCTGCCACTATGTGGAAATTCTTGAGCTACAGTGAACATAAGGGTAGGGAAAGAAAAATTTTTATGAAAAAATAGACATATCACATGGATGTTCTGTACGATTGACAAATCAAGCTGAACACAAATAAGTCTGATGTAAATTTCTGAGCAGTGCAATATCAATTATATTGATACCAAATATATCAAGAGAGCCAAAGCTTACTTCTCTAGGTGCACACAGCACAGCACAATGTGAATCTGGTTTGATTATGCCATTTTGATATTTGCCTAATACAGATGGTTTGCTCAGGATAGTGAGGATGCAAATCTCATTTTACATTATGAATACCCTTATGGCTTTCTCATTTTATGCTGCTATTGCACCTCAGAGGCAACAGACCAGAGACACCCAAAGCCTCACAGACTGCACGATGCTGGAGTGATGCAGGGCTCTGATGGAGGTTCCTTACCAAACTGCTGCCTGGGGGGGCAAAAGTCTGCAAAGAAAACCACAACACCCTATTATCACAATGCAAAAGTACCATTTTCTACCACAACAGCTGCACGTAGCCATACTCCCCAGCCATATATACTCACTGCTTCATATGAGCACACCAAAGTGAGTATTCTTGCAACAAGAACTATCCAAAGGGATCATAAAGTGTAACAATCTGTCCATGTACAGATGGCACAACGTTCAGCCAGTCCAACTCAATACAACACAATGATGCGTTGCCAGGGCACTCCAGCTATATGGACAATAAATTGGGGGAAACAGTTCCACTTGCTGCCAAAGCAGAGAAATTCTGCAGCATTACCAATATCTGAAAATGGCAAAATAAGCACAAAGAAATGCAATAGTATTGTTGGCTGGAGATCATACCATGAGGATGAGCTGGGAAACGGAGGGGAAAAGGCAAACTGCAAACAGTAAGAGAAAATGTAAAGATGATAGACCCTAATAAAGCAAAAGAAAAAACATCCAGTTCAGAACAGAGATAACGTATCATCTGGTAAGAACAGACAGGGAGTCTACAATATCGAAAATAAATTACTAAGGTCTGAGATACCTGCCCTTAGGAAAAACTCTTCTTGGACTTTATTTTTGTAAAAAGAATTGTAAAATCACTAAAATACGGAGTTGTCTGCAGTGGAGACTGCCCTTGGGCATCAAAGTCAGTAAAACCAGTCACTGAGAGCACTACGTGGATGAATTGAACAAGCTGGTTCTAGTGGCGACCTGCCTAGAACTTGCAACCTTTTCATAAAAATCACTCTGATGGGTACCTGAAAGCAAGGCTGCTATCCCTCCAATGCATTGTTATATTTTCTGTACTAAGTATTGAAAATTTAATTTTCTTGATAAATTCAGAGACCTTGCTCCGAGTGCCACAAGAAAGCTGGTGTGTTTTACTGCAATCCATCACCTGTCTCTTTGTCTACCAACAGTTCAAGTATGTTGTTTCAAAGGCTGCAGCTTGACAACATTTTAATTCACATACTTGTCATCTGTAGACAACAAAGGAGGGGATCTGTATATCCATCTTACCAAGACAGCAGCTGTGGAATCAGAAAGTGAAGGAAGATTTGATGCAAATTATGAATAAGACCTTCTGTTTCATCTGATTGTTCTATGAACTGTATCCTGCTGCCTGTATCTCTGGCAATAATCTTTGTGTGTAATGAGGAAGTCTGTAGACATTCCTCAGCTGTAAATGTGGAAGAGAATATGAGGTGCACAGAGACTGTGACCTAGTGGAATTTCATTAAGTCCCTCCAGAAATTATTTTTGCCTGTCTTAAATGAAAGGGTAGCACATAAGGCTGGGAGAGCAGAAGTCACAAAGACACTGGTGGTGCCCCTTTGAACTTCTCATCCAGCAAAAGGCAGATATCCCTTAGAAGGAAGATGCATGGTGCAGTCTTCTGGGTCTAGCCCAGGGGTAGGGAGAACCAAGCTTCACAGCTGCAAATGTGCTTGGGTACAGCCTTTCCTTTCATTAACATAAACTCTTTGGACAAAGAACTTCCTTTTACTTGTTTTCAATGATATCTGCATGCTTCTTTTCCTGTGCCTCTATCCTAGAGCCACTCTTAGTCTGGCCATCGTGAACAAACTAGCTATACCTATTTGTTACATGCTATTCTTCAAAAGTATGTAGCTGAGCCTCCTAGGTAATTTTAAAATGCTCAGTGAACACTCTCCTAGCTATTTCTTACAAAGTGTGCATTACTAGAGGCTTGTGAAGCTTCTTGTAATGGGCAACGCAACAGAAAACTGTGGGTTCTGATACACTGCATAAATGTCACCACCATCAATTCTGCTGAGCGCTTTGTGCCCAACAGGAGCTGTTTTTCATTACTGTGTGAGGGCCTGAAAAACAGTCACTAAATTGACTCCTGGTTCAAAGAGACTGGATTTTCTACTGCATACAGAAAAAATCCTGAAAAAAAAAAAAAAAAAAAAAAGCAGCACGGCAGCCATCTCTTGCACTCTGGGGCCTGGAAGCATGGGTCACTGTGTACAGATTTGCTCCTAGGTGCAGAGCACAAACTATTTATTCAGATCATAGATCCAGGAGTCACAAAAAACTTGGTATCTGGTCCTTCAAATATGCACACTTTGGCTTTTAACATTGTCTTAAAGCTTAGGTACCCTTTGCATACCCTAGTTTACACAGCTGATTATACCAAAATTACTCCCAGTTTGCATTTATTGAAAGAAGAGAAAGGCAGCCTTGGCATGCATATATGAAACAGCCTTTGCCTAATCCTTTTAATATGATCACTCCAGAACGATCTTGCTGTGCTCACCACAGCACAGTTATCTGAGCTAGAGACAGTCTCCAAACCAGGATTTTTTCTGTTCACAGCACAAGCAGCGCTCAAACTACAGTTCTTTCCAACAGAAGCACTTAAAAGCTTCCCTCCTCCATCATCATTCTGTCTTAATAAAAGCCCTATGGGATTAGTTTCACTCAAACAGACTTTTTGACAAGATTATAAGTGGCTGTTAAAGGTCCTTCACAGGACGAAACTCTGATTTTATTGAAGTTAATGGTAAAATTCTCCCTGCCTTCAATGGGGCCAGTATTCACCCAAAAGATGTAAAAATACCTGGTTACAGCTGCTGATTTATTATTAACAGAAAATTTTCACTTTCATAATGCTCCAAATACTTACACTGCTATCCAAACGTTAATCAACCAACACAACACTACAGCATACCTTAGAACTATCTGGGAAAAAAAAAGTTAGGTATACAAGTTATTTCGCTTATCATCCATAATTGTACATGACATTTTCATCAAAGCTTCATTATGTATAGCCTTTACCTTAAGAACATAAAATGATTACTGATATTCATAGACACATAAGCAAATACCTAGCTAAGAAAAGCACAACAATCCAAGCAGCAAACCTTCTTCACTCCACAAGAGTCACCTTCAACCATTTCCACTGGAGAATTAAGTAAGATGATGCTTTCAGGAGGCTGTTGCTTTTTAACAGGGAGGAGAAGGAATTATTAAAGTCAAGGATGTAGTGAGGAAAAAAATGCAGATGTTTGGGAGCCAGATACCTGCATCAAGTGTGCTTCAAGAAGAGCACAAGACACTGTCCCCAAGAGCCTGGTTTAGGCACTGCAGGGACCTCCCCACTGTTCCCATGACATCCCTCAACGAAAGGAGCATCTGCTTCTGTTTATGGGAAAAGATAGGGGAGACTGAGCAAAGCTATCACGTCTCTGCTACCCTGCAAGTGCTGAAAACACTTTCTGGAGTATTATCTGCAGCTGCCAGGCAGGAGGTGAGGGCAGTCACCTGCCCAGGGCACCAACAGACAGCCACAGAAACTTGCTTTTTCTTATCAGCTACTAGCTTTAGTGTGCAAACAAATTAAACCAGAGAGCTTTAGAAGAAGAGAGGAGCAGAAAGGCAGAGTCACCAGTGGCTTTTGGAGAAGTTAGCTCAAGATAAATGTTGAATAAGAGTTACTGATGAAGGGGACACAAGGAAAGTTTTGTTAGCTCTGAGGTATTGTGGCCAGACAGATGCAAAGTTCTTCTGCCTGCTTGCCCTAATCCCCAAACCAGCTCCACCTTCTCAGTTGCTTATTTCTGTGCACTGATTAAAGGGACCATTTTAATGCTGTGCTTTGGCCCTACCTGTGCTGGCAACCTGTACTTGCTGCAGAGCTGAGGCCAGAATGGGTGCAGAAGAGCCAAAGCACCCTTCCCAGCACGAGGCCAGCCATCACCATTTTCCTTTAAAAAGGCAAAATGTTTGCTTGAAACTCATCTTGAACCTATCTCAACATCTCCCCAACATGCCAAAAAAGAATTAAGTGGATCCAGCCTTACCCAAACCAT